ACAAAGTCGCTGAATTGTCTGAAGAAGTAGAAAAGGCGTTGGACAAGATCAATAGCTCTGAAGAGAAGAAACAAAACGTCTCACTTGGCCCCGCTGTCTTTGTTGTACCTACTGCTATACTCCTGTCGATTGTCTCTGCAGGCATCGCTGTTGTGGGGAAGTTCCCATTCATCTGGATCTTCCTTGTCTTTGCGTCCATTTGCTTCTGGATGTCACACCAGTTTGCGCCGAAAGGAAGTTTCACGACGGTTGCAGTTGTCTTGAACTTTGTGTTACTGAATTTGTTTTTGGTGAGCATCTCTGCGAGTGTTTTGATGGGTTCGGTGCTTCAGATCTTCCTTGGGATTTATATTTCACTAATGCTCTTCTTGTGGGGAGGTAGTCAGATGCTGAAAACGTCGTTTCTGAACTTCTTCATAGTGTCGTTCTCATTCTGCTGCTTGGCGTGTTGGTGTGTGTTCATGTTACAACCCACATTTGAGTGCTCTGTGACGACACCTATGAAACAGAACCAACTCTTCAAAGAGTATTTGACGTACAATTCATCGGATGAGGTCCGATTCAATTTGTCGAGTGAGGTGCCGTGGAACTGTTTCCAACCCCGATTGGAAGCCGTTGGGAAGAAAATCAAGTTCAAACAGTATGACAGTGTCTATGGGATTATAGCAGAGGAAAACACCTTAGACACTGATTTTGTTCAAGTGAATTTGGTGTGTTCTTCTATCAGAATGAAGTGTGTGTCTTATACGATATCGAAGCAGCTCGAATGAGTCGTTTTAATTTGTTTGTTAAGTGTTCTTTTTGTTTGAAGGGAGTAGGGTTAATACTTTCGAAATGGGTAAATACAATAAATTACTCTGGAAGAACTGCACCATTACCTTTGAAAGTCTCGTCACTGTCTTCTGTATCACTTTTTATATTGATCTGCTTTGAGTCGTTGTTGTCCATTTCTATCTGTTCGCCTTTGTCATCAAACACCGGAACATTGGTCATGGGTATTTCAATTTCTTTCGTCTGCTCTTCATTTTGCTTTAAAGGAAGAGCCTCATTCCTCGTTTTGGAGTCGGCCCAGGTGTTGTTCAAACAACACTTCCAGCACTTGTATTTGGTGAAGACATAGCGGTCGATGTAATCGTATTTGATTTGTAAGGAGACTAATATGATGTGTTGAATGGTTGACATGATATAAGACACTAATGTTGTATAATGTTGTTTTGTTGAGAAGAACATATAAAAGGTAATGACAATACACCCGAATGTTTGTATTGAATTTGCCGTGAGCGACATTGAACCGCATCTCTATGTGTTATTTTGCTTTTTTATGTATTGATTAAAATGGTGTTATCAAATGTTTTTGTGTTGTAAAAAGGTATGAATAAAGGTGCAATTTGTCAATTGGAATAACATGAAAAAATGCTCTCACAAACCTTTGTTCTGAATGTTCTCCAAATCTGTGGAATGTACTCAAAAAACGTTATTACAGCAGAACCAAATCCAAAGACGTATCCAAACCAATACGTGAAATCTGCACACATCCCAATAAGATATTCACTGACCAAAATCATCATCAAACACACCATCAAAAACACCACCGCTAATCCGAAGAAAGCAAGTGCCCTCCAAAATGTCGGCTTTTTCTTATCTTTGTAAAAGATTAAAAAAGACGCAAAAATTGGGTATTCAAGTGATACCAAAGCAAGCATCTGGAAATAAGAAAGTAGAGGAGGGAAACAACGATTGATACCAACAGCACTACAACTCTTCATTATACTCCAATTGAATATCGTGGAGTTGACAAATGCAAAGACTTGATTGCAACATAAAAAGAGGAGGTACGTCGGTGAAAGCCCTTCGCCATCTTGTCGTCTTATAATTTTGACTAATTGTGGTAACATGGAAATAACAGTGAAAATGAGTATACCAACACCAAGAACTATTTCAAACACAGACATGCCTGGTACGTAAAAGTACTCTGATGACTCGGAAGAATCAGTGCAGACATCCATCCCACTTGAGCGAGCAGTAGTTAGTAGAAATGTGACTATAATAATTGTCAAACTAGGAGCACAATACCTTCCCATGGTTTTTATATTTTAAGGTTTGTTAGAAATGCCACTGATTGAACAGTAAATTCCATTTGGCTTGTAATTGTAAAATGTCTTAAATTTTATTATAAAGAATTAAACAATTTATAATAAAATAATTTTATATATTAATCTATTTTTTTACTATGTAAAAAGGTATTTTTTTTTTCAACAAAATAGTTTTCATACTAGTTATCAATAGTTGTTTCTACAACAAAAAAAAAAGAAGTTTAAAATAATTATAAAAGCTATGAGAATAGGACATTCAAAAAATTAACGTGTTATTGTTTTGTTAATAATTTCCCCGCCAATAAGTGCCGTAGACCCTTATAAATATTTTTTGTAAATTGTAATAATAACATTTTTATATAACATTTGTTATTTACAAATTGAATACAAATTGTAATTACAAACTGAGAGAAATTTTTATGAATTTCAAATTATTAAATAATTTAAATATAAATTAAATAATTATAATTAAATTATTGACTCATAAACTGAAATGAGTTCTTATGAACTATATTATAACTAACTTAATTATAATAAATATATCGAATTATTATAATTTAGAAAAAAATTCAAAAATTTAACAATCATATAAAATAATATAAATTAACTATAATATATAATAATAATGTTATATAGTTAAATAATTAATTAAAAATATAGTTATATATAACAAATGTTATAATTATAATTAATAAATCCATATATTTACTATATTCAAATTTTTTCTAATATAGTTTGTAATGGCTATATTAAAACGAGTAATATTAACTCACTTCTTTACCAAAAAACTCACTTGTTATAAAAAAACTCACTTTAACTATTTGAAACTAAATATTTTTAATTTTATAATAAAAAGAAAAATATAGATATAAAAACCAAATAAACTATATTTATAGTTTAAATCCTATAAAAATAATTATAATTACAGTTAATATAAAAAACCCAATTCACAAGAAATAACCGAATGCAAGAACTTTAAATAACAAAATTTATTACATAATTTTTTCCATTTTCAAAAATAAACTGTTTTTTAAAAAATAATGGAAATTGATAACAGCAACGAACTTATTGAAATTAATGAAAGTGATATTTCGAACATTGAAATTGACTTGATTTTTTTAACGCAATAGAAATGAGCAATTTCGAAGATATCAAAACAAAAACCAATCAGCCATTGAATTCTATCAACGAACAGGAATTAAAATTGAGAATTGGAAAATCTTTATTCAAATCTGGGATGTTGTATGCCAAGCCAAATTCCCACCACAGTATTTCGAGAAGTGATTCAACCCAAGCATTAAAGTTGTTTTGTTTTATCATGAACAAACCCATGTTGAAAGAAAACTGTTTTCATTTAAACTCTACAGAGAGCAAGTCATTTTTATTAACAAAATGACTTCAAAACATTTTAGTCAAGGTGTCGTGGGCGCATTTTTCGGGGGTTCAAGAGGATTAATATCCAATCAAATATCAAGTCAAAAGAAAGATCAACAGTTTGGTCAAAGAAATCCAGGTAGTCCGTCACTGCTTTCCGAAACCACCAAAACAGTTATCAAGAACATTATCGATGAATATAACAATCAAAACATTGCTTTGACTATTCAAATGTTTTGTGATATTGTCGAGTATTTAGAAGGAACAAGACCACAAAGTGATACAATGAGAAAAATACTCGAAAGAGAGTTCGATTTAGAAACATCAGAAATAGAGTTCGATGAAATTGAGAGAATCAACATTGCAGCACAACCGATACTTGATAATTATAAACAGTTGTCGGAAAAGTTGAACAGTTACAAGATCAAAGACAAAATGTTGTTCAATGTCGACGAGATGGGAACATCTGAAGAATCAAGTCGAAAGAACACACGAGCTATGGTACCCAAAGGAGTCAATACAAAAATTCGTGTTGCCAATGGACAAAAATCAAAAACAACCACTTTGATTGAATGTATAAGTCTTGCAGGTGAAAGAATCAACGAATCTTGTGTTATTGATAAAGTTCATTACAGTACAGTTTTGAACAAATACTTTAGAAACATTAAGTTGTATTGCAACACTTCTGGTTTTGTAACCAGTGAGATATTTACGTTGTGGGTACAAGAAGTATTCATTCCAGGAGGCAAGAAGATCAGAATGGAAAATGGATACCATGATAGTGAATATGCAATACTGATTATGTATAATTGTAGATGCCAAGTTGATGATGGTATTAAACAAATCTTGTTGCAAAACAACATCGTGGTTCATTATCTGGTTCCACACACCAGTCACCTATGCCAACCACTTGACTTAGTTGCATTTGGATCCGTCAAAAGAGAAATGAAATCGTTGAAACGTGTATTCAAAACAACAAAGAGTATCAACTTCTTGAAAAATGACACTGTACCTACAAATATCCAAAATGGAAATGAAAGTGCATTTGACCAAATCCAACATTTAAAAGTATCATTTCCACAGTTGCTACCCAATGAATTGTTTGAAATGGCAGAAGAGATCAAGCACAAAAAGTGCCTTGGTACCTTTCCCAGTGGAATAGCAAATCAACTCAAAACTTTACTCACTTCGATAGCAGATGCCATTGTAACTTGTCCAAGTAAAACCAAAGAGTACGAAGACGTTCTATTTGGTGTTGTTTGTTATGGGTGCAACATAGAAAAAACTCCACTGTTTACAGAACAACAGTTGACCAATCTAACCAACAACATACACATTAAAATAACAAAGAATTTAGTAGACAGTCTGGATTAGATAGTAAGGTTGTTGGAACAAGAAGAACGTGTATTCGAGTCAATTGAAAGAGAAGAAGAGAACGACATAACCAAGATCATAAAAGAAACCTGTTTGTCTGGACCAGGTTATGGTGATTTGTTGATTAAAAAGGAAAGAGCATCTTGGGGGTCTACAATTTCAAACAAGTTGATAACCATTCTTAAGTCGGCCAACAAGGCACTTCACCCAGTTACAATCATAAATTCTTTTGAGAGAGCGGGAATTGTATCGCGTTTAGGAGAAGATGGTCAGTATTATGCATACGTGGATCTGAAAGAATCCAAAAGAATGGTCGAGGAAATCCCGACAATTAAAACTCTCGATGGATACGAAAATTTGATTGTTGTACTGGAAGACTCGAAATTGAGAAACAAGGTCAAAGTGGTGCCACCAAAACACCTTAAAAGAGCTCAACAACTAAAGAATGGTGTTGATATAACAACGTATCATGATCTACACGTCACTTGTATTAACAATATCATTTTGACACAACAAGTTTTCACAGATACATCTTTGACAATCCCTGAGGCCACTAATGTTGTTGGAGAAAATGTGTCATTACCAATGGAAACTGAAGTATTTCTAGAAATAGATACATCAGACAATTTGAGTGAAAGTAAACCACTTGATAAATACACAATCAAACCAGTTTATCAAAAAGGTCATGACAATTCACTTTTGAATAAAAACTTGCCTACGAGTTCTTCTCGGTGTGACCAAACACTGTTGAATAATGAACCTCAAATGTTTAAACCTGTATCTAAAACACCACCATTACATCAGACGCAGATACCATTTTTAATTCATAAAGGCAAAACAACTGTTTCTTCTCCCAACAGTCATTCCGTGACTTTTTTAAATCCCGGACTCAAAGAAAGAACTCATAGCAAAGGAAAAAGGCATAAACCTTCTAAGCGATAAATTACTGGATTTCAATTTTTAACAAGGAGAGATCCGTTAAGACCTTGATCCAAGTTAAGATGTTTTTTAGTTAAAAAATCATCTTTTGAATTAACTTATTTACGTGTTTAATCTGACTATTTTAAATAGGAAGTTCTCTTTGTTTTTACAAATATTTCGATTTTATTGGTCATATTTTTATTTTTGTGTTTTTATTTTTTGTTGTATCCATACCATAAAGGAGTTCATATAATTCAACATGTCTCGTTTTTGTATGGAAAAATGTCAACATCAACACAAATTGTTCATGATATGCAAGTTTCGACTTTTTGTGTTGTTTAAAAAGTGTTTGATCAATTACTCCTTTTTGTTTGAACGTGTTTTCCTTTGTAAATGTGGCATTGCTAACAATGGTATCAAATAGGCTAACAAGTTCTTCAAGTTCAAAAACAGTAAGAAACTTGCAAGTATGTAAATTAAACTGGCTTTCCCAAACATTTTTTTCATCAGAAAAAGATGAAGTAATTGAATTTTCGCTACCGAAATCAGTACAATTAAAGGATAACCGTTCTTCCATTAAATGTGAAGCAATTTGAGAGCTAACAATATCTGACTTTGGCTGAGAAACTGTTTCTCCGTCATTTAATGTCGTGTTAACGAAAAATTGTGATTTCGTTATTCTAGTTGGTCTTTCAACATCATTAATATTAAACGACAATTGGATTGGTAAATTTTGTTGTGATAGTGATGGTTGCAGTGGTTGTGGCCGTGATAGCAGTTGTGTTTGTGATAGTGATTGTGATTGTGGCTGTGTTGGTTGTGTCCTTGTTATTAATCGACCAGGTGTCCGTGTTTTTAATGATGGTTTATAAACCATTCTCAATGTTGGATTTGACATGAATAACAAGTTATTAAAAATGCTTAAAATGTATTTTTATCATTACTGGTTCAAATTCGTTCTTATGTTTTAACGTTTTTACTAATGGCAATTTTGATTAATTGGTCAAGTTGTTTTTTTATTTGTATAGTTAAATAGAAAATTAAAAGAAAACCAAAATTTTATTATTTAAACATTTTTTTGATTTATTAAATTATTAACTATTAAGATAATAAATTGTTTTTTGGTGAGTTATATTTTTAAAAGTGAGTTAAATAATAAGAAGTAAGTTTATTCAAAGCAAGTGAGTTAAAAGTAAAAAAATGAGTTAATAGCCATAAGTCAACAATACTTTAGTTAACTAACGAAGATATGTTTAACTAACTATAATATATTTATAGTTATTCTTTTTGAACTTCTTTTTTTTAAATAAGCTGTTATTTTTCCTCTTCACCTTAAAAAAAGAAGTACAAAAAGAATACTTCTGAATTGAGTCAATTTATTTGTTTTTATTATCTTATTAAAAATTAATTTCAAGTCCCAATAATAAACACTTTTAAATTAAAAAAAATTACAAATACAATTAATAAAATTATATTATAATCCATAGCTTTTTTGTTGCACAATAAATCTAAATGGAATGAATTTGATGTGTAATTTTCATAATATAAAACTATTATAATATTATTTTTATAGTATTTGTTTTTCACAACACAACACCAATGTTATTTCTTCTAAGAATTAACTATAAAATATACAAATGAAAGTGTATTACCTGACAAATGAATATGTAATTGACTCTTCTGAGATCAAAGACAGCGAGACGTTATTTGCTTTAGTTATTTCAGTGATTGGGGTATCGGAGTGTGTGATGTTACAACTGCCAAATTTATTTATAGTAGTTTGTCACCTCATTTTGAGTTGTAATATGAAACAAATAAAAAATAACATGTAGAAGGATTTGCCACTTCCAAAAGAATTTAACACAAAACAATCACTCTTTGTTCTTACACAAGAATTGGTTAATCCCCTTTCCAAAGAAGTTGAAAATGCATGCACTCGGTGTGTTATAAAACGACCATTTTTACAGCGAATGACAAACGACTGTTGTAAGAGCTGCACTGAGATATGCAAAAATGTTCCTGTATCAACATGTGTTCGACTTGGGGTTTGTTATTGTCGCGAATCGAAATGTTTGCTATCTGAGAACACAAGACAATATTCTGAAGAAGAGTCAAAGTCTCTTGTTTTCCACGAGTTAAGTGAAATATCAATTCGTGTGTTTTACAATTACATAATGAGTCATTCGATTGTTTGTTTCTTCTCTTCTACGCATTCCAGTTATAAATACCAATAAATAAGTATAATGACTTATACATAGCCATTCATTCCACGATTAATGACTTATCTCAAACAAGTAGAATTTTACGAAGATCCTCAGAACCAAAAATTAGCGCTTCAAAAAATTCCATTAGAACAATTGCATATCACACAAGACCAAATAACGAATCGGACGTTAGACATTGACCAAATGAAAGATATTGTTCATTGGTTTAAAACGGAATTCTTCCATTGGGTTGAAGACTACTGTTTAGAGTGTGGTTCAAAGGACGTGTCGAATTACAGTGATACCCCCAATGCAGACGATTTCAAAAATGATGCCAATCGTGTCGAGATATTTAAGTGCAACAAATGTGGTCACATCAGAAGGTTTCCAAGGTACAACAACCCACTCAAACTCTTAAAAACGCGTGTTGGGCGATGTGGGGAATATGCCAATTGCTTTACATTTATTTGTCGAAGTCTTGGGTATTACGCTCGATTAGTATTAGACACTACAGACCATGTCTGGACGGAGTTCTTCTCTCACTCCGAAGATCGTTATGTCCACGTCGACTCCTGTGAAGACAAAGTAGACTTCCCTTTGACTTATGAACGTGGGTGGGGGAAGAAATTAGAGTATTGCATAGCATTTTCTAACTACGAAATGCGCGACGTGACTTCTCGATATACCGAACGACTCGAAGACTGCTTGCCACGACGAAATGATATATCAGAGTCTCTTTTGTCGTCATTGCTTGCCGGACTGAATATAGCACTTTTATATCGAGCAGACACTACCGACGTTATTAAATGGGAACATACCGAGAACGACGAATTCAGTGGGAAGAAGAAGATAGAAAGGAAGTGGGAAGCGATTGGGCGGATATCTGGGGAACAGAAGTGGAAAGAAGAGCGTGGGGAGAATAAGAAAATGATAACTCCAACGGACTTCAAGACGAAACTAGTGATTAATTCGGAGCTTTATGGAGAAGCTTGTCAAGTCGACGACACTATTCGCGTCACAAAAGGGTATGACTGTTCTGGTGGAGTCTTCAAATGTGTCACCGCGCCATATCAAGAGCACAAGAATGTCTTAGTTCATGTAGTTGTAACAAACAAAAAGGCAGACGCCGATGGATTTGCTGGTGTGTTTGCTTCAAAGC